TAATCGATTATCAACTTGAAAATCGATTATTCATCGTTCTGCAGATTTTTGTAACAAAGCTGAGCAACAGTCGATTATCAGAATGTGATAATCGATTATCAGCCCATTCTGAACATCAGACAGTAGATTATCAGAAGTGACAGTAGACTGTCTCCCTACACTATTGAAGAAAATGAAGCTAATAGTTAATAATTGAATTTCCTATCATATATTAATCAATTATTGTTTAGAAAACATGATTTTTGAACTATGAAATCCTATTTTTGATACCAATTAATTATGCACAATATAAATATGATTTTGTATAAAAACAATGAGGTTTTTGGCATATAAAATACTATGTGACGCATGACGGTAAGTTCGGGTGTTAACACTCGAGACTAGGCCGATGTTTGTTATCAAATGTTATGTTGATTGATTATTATGATGAATGATTATTATGATGATTATGACTTGATGAAACTACTGATTAAAATGATTATTGAAGATTAAATTATGAATTGATATGAATATGTTGATGATTATGAAATTATTTGATTTGTAAGGATATCTAGAAGAACTCTAAGATATACCTAGGTTGACGTTGGTTTCTAAGACTATCTAGAAGACCTCTAAGATGGTTTAGAAATAGGCCTTGCGGGTATAATTATGAATATTCGGTGGCTTGGGTTAAAACGTACGTACGGGATCCATAACCAAACTAGAGGAACTCGTTTGGGGATGCCACCCAACCCGACAGTTAGTATCCTACTGTTCGGTTTTCTAGATTTGTACCTTAAGCAAAGGCTAGTTTAAGAGTTGGTAAATCAATCGGAATATATGTACCTTAAACTAATGACCTAGCTTAAGAGTTGGATAGAAGTACCTTAAACTAGAACTAGTTTAAGAGTTGGTAAACATCAAATAGATTGGCCTTAGACTAAGAATAGTTTAAGGATATTATTGAATGAGGATGTTGAATGTTGAATATGAATATTGAATGACGAATGTTGAAAATTGATTATTGTATATTTGAACTGAAT